ACTATGCATGAGTTTTCCTGATTGCTTTTTTTCCTAAGTGGTATCTTTTTTTAATAGAAGAATGAATAATTTTGGCTACAATTTTTTTTGTACTTTTTCTGGCTCTACAATATCCTTTTCAAGCTTCATAAAACTTGGCCAATTTAGACTCCTCAGAGGAAAAAGAGGATTCAGATGATCCCATCCATCTAGCCCTCTCCACTTCAGTCAAAAGCACGGGACTGATGCCAGAGTCAATCACTCTAACCTAAGATTCTCTATTCAAGACTGAGATGTAATTTCACAGCCTATCTAAACACTATTGTCAGCAGGCTGAATAAGCAAGGCATTATAAAAGTGCTTGTTTGAAAGGAAGGCACCTGGAAATTATGGTTCAGTAAGAATATACAGCATGCCAGGATGACCTTGTGGCCAGATCAAATTGGATAATAGTTGAATTAAGGTTTTTGACTCAATTAACCTGGACAGGCTTGTGGCACATCACAGTTCATTAATTTATTATCATTATTGTATATGGCTAGATTCCAGAATGATTCCTGGTTCATAGTATGTAATCGTTAAGTCTCAGGACCAGTTCCATAAGAGCAGGTTGGTTATAACAGGCTCAGGCTCAACCCATCCAAGACCGAGTGGCTGTGGTTTCCGACGTCCCGATATAGTCAGTTGACGCCATCACTGACTATTGGGGGCGAATCATTGGCCCCCACGGAGAGGGCTCGCAACTTGGGCGTCCTCCTGGATTCACGGCTGTCTTTAGAAGAGCACTTGACGGCTGTGACCGGGAGGATTTTTTATCAGGTCCGCCTGATTCGCCAGTTGCGTCCCTTTCTGGATCGGGACTCGTTACGCACGGTCACTCATGCCCTCGTCACCTCCCGCCTGGACTATTGTAATGCTCTCTACATGGGGCTCCCCTTGAGGAGCACCCGGAGGCTCCAACTGGTGCAGAGTGCGGCCGCGCGGGTGGTAATGGGAGCGACATGGCGCTCCCATGTAACACCTCTCCTGCGCGAGCTGCACTGGCTCCCGGTGGTCTTCCGGGTGCGCTTCAAGTTTTTGGTTACCACCTTTAAAGCGCTCCATGGTTTAGGGCCTGGTTATTTACGGGACCGCCTACTACCACCAATAGCCTCCCACCGGCCAGTACGCTCTCATAGAGAGGGACTCCTCCGGGTGCCGTCAGCCAAACAGTGTCGACTGGCGGCTCTGTGGAGGCACCTACCATCTGGAATGAGCTCCCCCCGGAGATACGGAGGATCCCGGATCTGCGCTCTTTCCGCCGTGCTGTGAAGACCTTTTTATTCCATCAAGCGGGCTTGGCCTAATCTCTTCCCTTTTTAAATATGTAAATTTTAATCTGTTTTTAAATTATTGGGGTATTTTAATTTGTCTGGGCCAAATAATTTAATTTGATTTTATCGGGTTTTTAAATTTTGTGTATTTATGTATTTTATTGTTGGCTGTTCACCGCCCTGAGTCCTTCGGGAGTAGGGCGGTATACAAATCAAATAAACTATAAACTAAACTAAACTATAATTTCTAGTATGTCTACATGACAACTTATTTATGTAAGAGAAGTCTGTTACTTGCAATTCTATGTGACTGGTCACCTTTGTGCCTCAAAGCATAATTGCTGATATATAAGTTGTTCATTGTCTGTTCTGACTTGAGTATTCTTTTTTATGTCTCTCTGGCCATGAGAAACCTTTCTTGGAAGTAGAACTTCCAAGGTCCTGGAAGGTCCTGAAATTGCATCATTTTACATTCTGTCCTAATGCAGGACAGAAAATCAGAAAGTATATTCAGGAGTCCAACTGAAAGTCTCTAAAAGCACTAAGGTATTGCTTTTTTATTTTTTATTTTTTCTGTAATAAGTCTCAACATGGAATTAATTTTTGCAAAGTTGACACATGATGGATATACCTTTTTATCTCTAACAACCAGACAATTTATTTCTTGCATGGATTCACCAACTTCATAACAGAGGATCAGACAATCTTCATTCAGTTCTATTACGCCATCCCTGTTTTTTTAGTTTCACAGACATGCAATTCATGATTTTAATTCTTTACTTCTTTTAGATTCTCAATTTCAATTTTCCATATGCCAAAGTCATTACCATAGTGATCTCAACTACCCACAATCAATTGCAGCTTTCACATAGTCCTGCTTGTCATCTTTGATAAGATATAGCAGGTTTACATTACATTCGATTACTAGTCTAAATCACATCAGAATTCCATGAAGATAGTAGAAGTTAGATCTGGCATATTCTGTCCAATATGGCAGAATAAACCACATTTTAACACATTCTATCCTTTTAAGAAAACTAGGATTTCTAATACAGAAACTATCTTAGAAGCCAATATAATGTTACCCACCTCTCAGCAATTAGAACAGCTATGCATTATACTAACACACACTTAGGAGGCTTCCTTATTGGATGCTATGCTGGAAGTGTAAAATGATTACGTGTGTGTGTGTGTGTGTGAATGTGTGTGTGTGTAACATACAATAATTGTTCATACAATAATTTTCATTTAATAGCCATATATTTGGTAGTATGTCTTTGGAAAGAATAAGATTTAAATATGCTAATAGTTTTAAAGTGTAAGAGTGTGTGTGTGTGTGTGTGTTCATTTCATTCACAAATGAAAGCAAATATGTGTCCCAGGATAATGTTGCAGGATCCAATCTGGATCACCAGGACCCGAGGTTTAGTTTTCCAAAGGTTTCAGACCCATCCTGGAGCTCTGAGGAAGGGCTCCAGCACAAGTCTGAAGATTTGAAAGACTAAACCTTTGGTCCCAGTGACCAGCTCAGATTGGATCCTGAAACAATTTATTATTTTGTAATGGCAAATCAATGTCACTCAATGTACAATCATGTTTGATCTCTGCTTATGACCTGTTATTACCATAATGAAAACACTGATCATTTTTTTCCGTGGTCAGAGTTGAATACTCTGCTTGAAAACGCATACTCATTTACAGTATATGTACATAAACACTGCTTTTTTTTCATTTTCTCCATTTTTTTTGTTTCCCTTTTTGACCTTTAGCGCCCTACATAGTTTGGGCTGGTTTATTTGAGGGACTAACTCTCCCTCTTTACATCAGGTCTGGCAGAAGGAGCATGTTAGAGATCTCATCAGCTGTGAAGTTCCATCACCATCACCCAAGAAGATGATATTTCTGAACCATGACAGCTCTCCTGTCATGTCATCATCCCCATCCTCTGAGATGAAATTGCCCCTGATTTTACTGATTTTCTGGAAATCCTTTAAAACTTGGTTTTGTCAACAGGCTTGGGGATACCATGGAAGTGGGAAGCCCATGAAATGGCTTATTACATGTTAGACCTTGAATTTACTCTCCCATGGTTTTGCTTAATATATATATATATATATATATATATATTTATAATTGCTAAGGGCTTAAAATGTTATTTTTAATTGTTCAGTTAATTGTATACCACCCAGAATCATATTCATGAAACGGGTGGCCATATTGATTTGATAAAAATAATAATAAAATAAAGTAAAAAGACAACTACAGCTGAAGAGCTGGCAATAGCAATATATAGCAATTAGAGTCTATATTCTCTGGTTGAGGATTTAAATTACAGACTTATTCTCTTGTATTTTCAAGTTAATGGATATTTAGCTATTTTTTTAAGATCATTATTTCATTTTTATTTTTTTGAGTAATAATTCTCACTAATCTGGGAATAGTAGGTGCTTGCTATATAGGTTTCACTCCCTGTACTGATTAGACAAAGAAGCTTGGATATAGCATTTTTCTTCTTAGTAGTAGTGAAAATAAGTAGCTATTTATTAACAGCAATTAGATGTCAATAAAACATAAATGTGTGTATTGTATTTTTGATGAGTGTGATCAAAAATGTTTTTTTTTTCTCTCATCAAAACTGCCTAGCTCCACTCTATTTACAAATTACCACATAACTGTATAGCCAATTCATTTAGGTTTCTTAAAGATATACAGTTGCAAGAAAAAGTATGTGAACCCCTTGGGATTATGTGGAGTTTTGCATGAATTGGTCATAAAATGTGCTCTGAACTTCATCTAAGTCACAACAATAGAAAAACACAGTCTGCTTAAAATAATACTACACAAACATTAGATGTTGCCATGGTTTAATTGAACATAACATGTAAACATTCAAGTGCAGGGAGGAAAAAGTATGTGGACAAGGAAAGAAGAAAAGGAATGGAGTATTTGTGGGGAAGCTATGGCTGGTAAAATAAAAATGCTCCCATTGAGCTAAACCATTTTCCTGAAGTTCATAAAACAAACAAAAAAATCACTAAGAAATTGTGAAGGCTTAATACAGGAAATAAGAAATCATTCAAACATGAGAGGATATTTCCTATGGGATGACAGCTTTTGGTTGAGCTTTTTTGAGCATTAAAACTAAATAAATTATAATAATAAAAATACAGCTGTTCCCTTGAAAACAACTAAAAATAAAGACATAAAGAACTACGTCTCATGCACAATGTTTATATCAAAAGCTCATGCAGATTGCTTTCAACTAGATTGCCATCAGTTCTGAAACTGTCTTTACAGGGACAGCTGTGTACACACATAAATAAATAAGTAAATAAGGCAGAAATGTACAGATATCATATCTTCCTTTCAAAGCTTCAGAGTTAATTGCTGAAATACTTGTTCCAAATTGTCAGTTGGAGAAAAATCAGTCTAAGCTGTTAATAAATCAATGTATACTTCAGTTCTCATAACAAGTACACCCACAGGAGTGAACCAACTTGATGATCAAGAATATAGATATTGACAGTGTCACAGCTATGCAAAGACAGTTCGCCTCCTCTTCCTAGTCCCTTAGGAGATGAGGAAAACAGGAGAGGGAATAACTTTATCCAATCTGTCTCAAGGCTACTAGATCTGAAGTGACAGTGATGAAAATTATTGAACTCACCAATCCCCAGACTCTAACATCAAGCAGGTTTTCTTTCTTACCTTCAAAGCTCCCGGCAAACAGGTAAATCCAGGTTATAGCAGGAACGAAAAGCAGAGTCAGAGAGGCAGCCAGGAATTTCCGTCGCCCTCTGCAAATTCCCAGCATTCTCTCTGAAGTGAAGCTTCCCAACCTGGTCCTGTTCCTATGTCGGAAGCATGGAGTCCATAGTCTCCCACATATTATCTGAAAGCAAGAGAAAGTAATGTAATATATGCAGTTTAGCACTTTCTCACTTCAAAAAAAATCAGATTTTTTTCATAGCCCCTGAAAAATTAAGATTAAAAAACAGCCATGCATGCTGCAAAACCCAGTCCAGAGTCAATGCACTGTAAAAGTAAGAAATGTAAATGTGTGCCTTACGCGCATGATGAAAGAGCATAAATCAATAGTGTATGATACTAGCTCGGATACCACATGTTTTATTTAAAACAACAATAAAGAAACAGAAACTATAGCGAACATTAATGGGAATAATAATACTGTCCCACAAAAGCCATTTTATTTTTACCACTTTCCAGTGTATAAGTAACCTTCTGAATATCTGTAAATGAAAGTAAGAGTTGGCAAACATATGGGACATGTAGTTAGAAAGAACCTTTGCTGTATTCTTGTTAAGATTATTCTTGTGTATCATGTAGTGATAAAGTCAAATTGCTGCTATACAGTTGCAAAATGGCTTTGAAATTGGATAGATTGGTTCTTAGCATTATTTCCTACCAACACTAACTTGATAATTAAGGAAACTTGGATTAAAAGAAATTTGACACAAAGCCTTCTTGGTTTAACTTCTATGTTTTAAATTCCTAACTTTAACCATTCCTCTTGTTTTCTAAAAATGGCAGTAGTCAAACTAATATATGAAAGCAAAAGATAGTTTCTGTTATTGTTAATTTCACATTCAGTTGTATGCATTGAATAAATAAAGCAACCTATTGAAGGAAATATGAGTTTAAAAACAAATTAATTTCATTATTGAAATTAGACACAGTGGATTTGGGGTTCAAGTCAAAGAAAGTGGAATAATTTCAAGAATGATATCAAGAACAGTAAGAAAAAAAACCCTGAAAAATCAACAAGGAGAATATTGTCAATTGGCTATTTTGAAGTTATCTCCCATAGCTAAAGTATCACTACCCTTGTCTAATATTTAATGACCTTTAATGAAATAAATAATATTAATCAAGGCATGCAGCACATTTCCTTCACATGTCCTTAATTACAATATTTATAATTAAGTGATAATATAATCTCTATTCAGATTTCATACCATGTTATACCAACCACAGATTGAGAAAGAAAAACTACAAATATCTGCTATTCATTTACCTACTAATGATTTTAAGTCAGAGGAAGATTTTTGCATTTCACTTATCAGTAACAACTCTTAATTATTCTTGAAAAATAAATTTCATTATTTCCTTTCTTCAAGAATCTGAAGGCAGGATCTAGGCCAAATCAAAATGTTATGATTCAATGATTAATATAAATATTATCTTTCAAGATATACAATGAATATTACAATTGCAGCATTCGCATACAAAAAGGAAAGTGTATTCTCTTGTTCACAAGTCTAAATTCAAAACTGTAATTAAAAATCTTCCTAAGCGCTGAGAATATATACAATGAGCACAGCTTTGGAAAGCAAAGATTTAATAGTGCTAAAGTTCCATAGAGAACTTAAATAATTAATCTAATATTTAACAAATACCTCTTTTGTTCCATTTAATCTCTATGCCATTGTCAGAGAATCACACAGCACTTTCCTTTTATAAAGGAAAGATTTAATACTGAAATTGGAAAATGCAGCAAAATTTGTAATACTAAATTCTTACACATTCAAAATTAGGAGTAGCCAATTGTATGATTCAGATTTTATGCGAGCGTGTGTGTGTGTGTGTGTGTGTGTGTGTGTGTGTGTGTGTAGAGAGAGAGAGAGGGAGAGAGATGTTACACATAACCATAAATATTTTTAGTAGACTTTATTCTCCTTTTTTCATCAGTAGCTATGTTTTATTTGCCTAATTTTCACATGGAAAAACAAGTAATACTGCATTCATCTGTTATTATGATATGTTCACTGTGCTGTGTAACATTCACTTCATTGCAGGAATAGAAATTATAACTAAATACTATTTCTAATTTTCTGTGAGTGTAAACATTTAAATTTTAATTTGGAAAAAAGAAATCTGTGAAAAAAATTATGCCTTGATGCCTATTCCTTTTTGCTGAAGGTGATATTTTTAATTAGTAATAACAGTATGATGCTGGCTCCAAATTTCCTTAAAACTTCAGTGCTGAAGATAACAGGAATAATGTTAACAAACAGTACAATCACTGTGATATAACTGGATTCCATTTCCCCCCACTCAACAACAGCAACATATATATGGAAGATGGAAATCTCAGTTAATTGTAAATACATTAATTAAATTTCACAAAATCTCTTACAGAAGTCTTATTCCTACTTATCAAAAACAGGAATATCAACCATCCTTTTTAAAAGTAGAGAATAATGAGTTATGTATTATAAAAACAATGAATTTTAAATATGTTATAATATGCTGGTATATTACCCATAATGAAGATTTGACTGCCTGGTTGATAAACATACTATAAAAAATGAGATATACAAACTACAAAATGTTAGTTAGAAATCTATGAGGAGCTAGCACTGTAGAACCATTAGTTCTACAGAAAGCAGTCAAGATTCACAGTTAATTTTAAGGAACTTTCGCTAACTCCTTAACTGTTCTAACCAGGTGACATACATCACTCCTGAGATTACAAGACAAATGTGAGGAAACAAGGAGAAATAGACTTGCTTTCAAATTTTAAATATATTCAATTTTTACAGAATAAAAAAGAGGCACAAAAGAAAAGACAAAGTCACAAAGAAGGAAGATAATCTGTACAGCTGAATCATTTCAGTGCTGAACCAATTGAACATTAGCTGCAGTGACATAAAGAATCACAATAACGTTTTAAAAAGACATACTGATAAAATTCAAATTTCACATCAGTATATTCAGGTCAAGAAAATTCACAAATGGAAGATGTCACCTGGAAATTTATAATTGTGATTACATGCAAAGGTCTTCTCAATTCAGAAATTCAGCTTACATTTTCAACTGAATATGGCTTTCAGCAGTTTTCTATATAAATATAACTCATCCATAGCATGTTCCATCTTGGCCATTTATAGCAGCAAGACAGATAACATAAATTCAGGGATCTAAGCTTATGATTTTTCATGTATTTTTGTCTTATAATGCTGTGTTTCTATTCTCTCAGAAGAAGAAAAAATAAGAGGGAAAAAATACATATCTCCAAATATCATTTAAACTCTCTTGAGAAACCCATAGAACCTCAACCAGAGTGGAGTTTATTCTTATATTTAAAACTCTTATATTTTGAACACTTTATAAATTAAAAGACAGGAAGCAAATTGAAGTGCCGCAGTCCAACAGTGTATGTATTATTTAGCAGAGCACAATGCAATTAGGAAGGCAATGGTCATTTCACAGCCTATAGCCCTCTAAAAGAAAGGGTATTACATAACCTCCAAAAATGTGTGTATACAATTGCCAAAATCATACCTCTTTATTTCTTAAACTGAAGATTGTATACATTTTGTGAAGATCAATAAAAACTCATTTGTAAACTGGCTATTACAATATGGCTAACACTGAAGGTTGAAAATCTTAACATGTAAATATGTGTGTGTGTGTGTGTGTGTGTGTGTGTGTGTGTGTGTATGTATGTATGCATATTTAATATATTTAATATAATATATAGTATATATATTATGGCCCTGTAATCCCTTGATTTGGGACAGTTATCTACAAATATCTCCAATATTTGTAGATAACTACTGCTTTGATTTATAAAAAGCAGCCTGATGATTGGAATCCTTTAATAATTTAACTGAAGAAACTTTCCTCTGTTAAATCTTAAGACAGTACCAAAATGCTAAGCAAGACTTCTTTCCATTAAGATCTTTTTTAAGAAACCATAATTGCAGAGCTGTCATACAATGAAAATAATCATATCTGTTCAGATTATTTGCTTCTATACTAAATACAGGATGTGAAGCAGGTCTCTGTTATGTCCTGCAGAAACTACTTTTAAAATCATAGTTAAGAGGTGTAGAAACCAGATTTCCTGAATTTGGAGTTAAGTTAATAACTAAATACACAATTCTGAATAACCAATTGAATAACGGTATCCCAGAAACCATATAAAATATCTTTAGCATAAAATAATTCCAATAGATCTGAATTACCTTTTAGTAGCTAATATATAATTTGTTAGAAAAAAATATATATATGACGTAACTGACTTATGACCATTTGTTTAGCAACTGTTCAAAGTTATGAAGGGGTTGGAAAAAAGTAAGCTATAACCATCACTTGGTTATGATCCAAGTGCTTGGCAATGGTTCACATTTATGGAAATTTCAGCAACCTACACATCATTGCCATTTACAATCTTCCCAGCTGTCTTCTGACAAGCAAAGTCAATGGGGAAGTTGGCAGGAAGGGTTGCAAGCTGTGGTCATGTGATGTCTTGCTAAACAATCATGGTAAATCATTTACCGGCCATGACCAAAAGGTTTGTAAAATTATATGCGGTCAAGTCATACGTCGCTTAATAACCACACTGCTTAACAACAAGTTTTGCAGTCCCAATTGTGGTCATAAATCAAGGACTACCTATACTCTGAGCATTGACACCAAATATGAATGTTTAGTCAAAAAACATTCCACGATAGAATAAACTAAACTAACCAACAACCTGACATCAATATTTAGGAGGATTCTAGAGTAGATCCTAAAGCAATTGATCTGTTAAGTGCTTTAAACACAATGTAGTAATTACCAGATGTCAGCACAGATTTATCAAAAGTAGGTCTTGCTAAACTAACCTTATCTCCTGTTTTGATTGGATAATTTCCTTAACATATTGCGAGAATGCTCTAAGCATACCATCTTTTTCTTAGCAAACAGCTGACACAAATGCCATGACACTTTCATTACCAATTAGTAAGCTAGGGCTGGATGGTGTGATAGTTTAGTAGATATACAATTGGTTCAAAAATTGTATTTCAAGAGTACTCATCAGTGGTTGGTTCTTCGTAAAACTGAGGAAGGTATTGAACAAGGTATTATGAAGTTCAGTTCTGG